AACGAAGTCTTTTGTTGATAAAGTATTAGGTAATTCTGACATCATTTTCTACACGGGAATAGCGTTATCGCGTCTCTGTTTAGTTTATATTTGTCCATCAAATATTCAGCTATAGTATAGCTGCGCGACAAGCTTTCATTTGCATCATCCTCGACACGATCAGAAGTTTCCTTACTTCTCCTCCTGTCCCGTATCACAGCGGTTGGTTTATTTTCGGTCCCGAATTTCCTTCTTTTTAAGCTGAATTCCGCAGGACATGTGTCCGCATCGCGGCAGCGTTTACGTCGTGTCTCATTACGTTCTTTGCTCCCGACCCCGACAAAAATCGTCTCACAGGAATCACTCGCCGTAATTTGACCCTTTTTCTCATCCGTCCAAGCCCTGGCGTCACTGTTTGCGACCTTACTTTTCGATTTGATATACGACACATTTGTATGAATGTCGTTGAGTCTCGTCGAAATTTGTGTGATGTTACTCTCCAAGCTGCACGGCTTCAGCGGTATCTTATTGTTTAGATTGCATGTAGATAGCAAAGAGCACGTTAGCTCGAAACTATCCGGATCTATATCGTTTGAATTATCTTTCGCGCGTCTTACCGAACTCCCAGAGCTTGCATGAATATAATCCTTCGTAGACAATCGCGTACTACTCGGTGAGCTACTTTTTTGCTTATCTCTATATTGCACAATCGCATCACTGTTATTTTTGACCACAGAAATTTCTTTGCGCGCAACGACGCATTTGTTTAATTCCTCTTCCGAATACTCTTGAGATACTTTTTCAATGTTTTGATTCTGTCTCTCTTTCATAGCTTCATTAATATCACAGCTAAGAAATATATTTATTTAGAATTAATATACTATAATTAGTATTCTTTTTTGTTGTACTCCTACTTACACATTGTACGTAATGTTTTGTATTTCCTTCGAGTATGCAATAAATTTATGGGTTCTGACTTCCACCACATTCATATCTTCACAGACATCACATATTTGGCAAGGATTTACTGCATATCCGAAGTATTTACTAATGGTTGCATGGCGACATCTAAATATGATTTTATAAGAAATTTTGTTAGTATACAAGAATTAAATTTTGTACTCTAATGAAAACTATTACTTCGTTAAAAGACAATAGGACACAAGCTTGTTATATTCATTTAAATGATGCTTGATATATCCAAGACCTTTTCCTTTTCCTACTTCACTGTTTTCAATTAACATTTTGATAGAAGAATATTCCTTTGTACTAAAATATATTCTACAATATGTACGGTAATTATTCGTAAAAGATTGCACAGATTCCCTATAGTATTTGGACATATTTTCTGGCACGGTCCAATAAACTTTACACCTATTAAATATAAGAATATTCATGAGAGAACAGTGGTTGTAAAACTCTTGTTTGAATTATTGAACAACCCATACTTGATTGGTTTCCTATAAATGAATTCACAATCATGTGTTGTAACAATGACCCTGGCACTTCCAGATAACCACTGATCTTTTATGTTATATTTAGCTTTTGTATTCAATTCTATAATAATTTAGAGATATGTATTTTGTATTAAAATTTTGTGAATATACATAATAATTTTCTTACTATGATGACAGATAATTGTGGGTATGCCTACAGCAACTAATCTTTCTTTCAGTACCTCTGCCTTGACTTCCTCATTACAGTAAATAATGCCAAAATCATCATGTGTCTGAGTACAGATAATTTCTATAAATATGTAGTTTGCAATCCTATAAAACGACAAATTGATTTACCTTGTGATCAGATGGACTTAAGAAACCAAGTACATTTATAATAAAATTTTTGAGGTGTTCAAATGGATGAGGAAGAATATCTAAAAACCATATATCATAGCACACATTCGTTTGTAGTATTGGTACTTTAAACCTTCTTGGTCTTTTTAATGTCAACTGACAAATATCGTCGATTACCTGTCAAAAGTTTGATTAAAGAAATATCAGATTTCTAAGGTTTTCCCAAATTAAAAATTATTCATGGTAATACTACTCGCAAAAAATTTTATTATTTGAATTTAAGCAATTCTGTTTAAGT